CCAGCTCAGTGGAGGATAGGGGAGAAGCTGACGCAAATTCTTCAGTCCATGACGGAGGTGATGGCACTGACACCCCCAACGGTGCGAATTCATTTGTTTCCTGTGAATTGCCTAAAACATAGTAATAAAAGTGAAATCAAATAAAGAAAAAGAAATTAAATGTTATGGAACTATGTACATACAATAATATCTAGTACGTTCCTTTACTCGCCCGCTTCACAGAAATTAGTCAGAAATGGACTGATTTGTTTCGGAAGATATTATTGAAGACATTGTAAACGTATGGGAATGACGGTAAATGTTTGGGAATTTGTACAACGATTTTGGGCTGGGGGCAGAGGAGGAGGGGGCGTGGCCCCCTAAACCCCCTAAAAGACAGAGGATGGGCCACACTTTATGAAAAGTAAAAAAATACTATATTTCAAACCAAAATTAATAATAAATTAATGCACAGATATAGTAACATTTTTTTATTCGGGTCACGCGTTTGGGCACAGCAACCCAAAATCGTTGAACAAATAACTAAAACGTACCTGGAACGACTTCTGACTAAATCTTGTAAGCCGGACGAGCAGTCACGTAGCCAGGATTGTGCGAAGGGGGGATGAAGAAAAACTTCAGCGATAGCTTAAAGGTGAGACCCTCAAAGAGGAGTCGCCTGTTTGTAATTTTTCATAAATACAGTGGTGGAAAAATAAATAGGGACACGACATTTTATCAAATTTTCCCTATTCGCCTTTGGTTATTTAATATTTATTATTTTTTTATAAAAGTATAGCCCATTATCTAACAAAAAACATATAAATTCATATTTCAAAAATTATAAAAATTCTGCAAATTTGCACCTAAATTTTCAACTAAAATGAAGTTTTAAGTTGCTAAAAAATTGCGTTGATTTTTTGACATTTTTTTAATGCATTTTCTTCCATAAAAAGTATGTTAGACAATTGTTTTTTGTATGGAAAGCAGTGCGTAATACATAGAGAATAAAAATTATCAAAAATCAACGCGATTTTTTAGGAACTTCAAACTTGCACTATATTCTATTAAAATTTAATGGACTATAAAACTGCATACCCAAAAAATTCTATAAAATGTGATTAAAAATTTTGCTGTTTTCTTTTCTATTTCATGATTAGAACAAATCTTCTACAAATTTAAGCTTTTAGATTTTTGAAGTGAAACTTCTTAGGCGGCGGTATCGCAAAAATGGAGAGTGAAATTTTTAAAACTGAAAACGTTACATGAGTGAGAAGGAAGATATAGGTAGTATTGGGAAGGGGAAAAAAGAAATAAAGCGACGAGTACCTACATATGTGTATATGTATGTTTGAATGCACGTATGTATGTATACATATATATGTATGTATGAACGAACTCATTGCGCATTTCAACTCTGCCGCTACCAAGCAATAAATGTATAAATGGTGCAAGCGTGCTTCGCGTAACTACATTCATTCGTACATGTGTACATATGTTTGTATGGATATACTTATGATGAAGCAAACGGGCTTCGTTGATGTACTCATGGGCATATGTATGTACTTATGCACAGCAATGTTTTCATGTATGTAAATATGTTTGAATGGTTAAATATATATTTCTGTGTTCGTATGGAAAAGTAGCTTATGTCGAAAGGCTGGCTTTAGTATAATGCGGCAATCCCTTTATTTTTTAAACGGCAAGGAATTTTTTGATGAGACTTAATAAGAATATTGACTTGCTAGTATCGAAACTATTTCTTCTACGTTTATTTGCCAAAAGTTTTTCAACGGCTTAGCGCCAGTGAGTCATTCGCAATCGGATGCTGCGAATGCCGAATTATACTAAAGCCAGCCTTTCGACATAAGCTACTTTTCCATATGAACACAGATTTGTATGTATCTACATATANCATTTTATCAAATTTTCCCTATTCGCCTTTGGTTATTTAATATTTATTATTTTTTTATAAAAGTATAGCCCATTATCTAACAAAAAACATATAAATTCATATTTCAAAAATTATAAAAATTCTGCAAATTTGCACCTAAATTTTCAACTAAAATGAAGTTTTAAGTTGCTAAAAAATTGCGTTGATTTTTTGACATTTTTTTAATGCATTTTCTTCCATAAAAAGTATGTTAGACAATTGTTTTTTGTATGGAAAGCAGTGCGTAATACATAGAGAATAAAAATTATCAAAAATCAACGCGATTTTTTAGGAACTTCAAACTTGCACTATATTCTATTAAAATTTAATGGACTATAAAACTGCATACCCAAAAAATTCTATAAAATGTGATTAAAAATTTTGCTGTTTTCTTTTCTATTTCATGATTAGAACAAATCTTCTACAAATTTAAGCTTTTAGATTTTTGAAGTGAAACTTCTTAGGCGGCGGTATCGCAAAAATGGAGAGTGAAATTTTTAAAACTGAAAACGTTACATGAGTGAGAAGGAAGATATAGGTAGTATTGGGAAGGGGAAAAAAGANTAGTACAAACGAAAACAAATCTAATAAGCTGCTCGTTGATATAAATGCGAACTGTACTGATTGTCAAAAATTATGTGTTTGTTGTACATTTGTTCATGTTTGTCATTGTGCGTGTAATTTTCTAGAGTAGTTTTGTGCTCTTGCTATCTCCTTGTATTAACTCGTCCTTCGTTGGTATACTCTGATGAACATATGTGAGGATGATAGCAAGGCCAACTTATATAAGGTAGTGTTCCAGGAGCAGTTGAAATTTTCGCCCGATGTTTCTTAAAGAAAGCCATAAACGTAGCGACCGTTGGTTCAACTTGGTGTTTTTTTGCTCTATGTTGCACCGTTTGTGGGCCTGTTGAATGAATTTATGTCTTGGTTGTATGAAAGAACAAAAAATTTGGACTTTCTGGCAAGTTGTACAAATTATCGCTACATTAATGGCCATGTTGTACAAACTCATTTAAATTGCGTTTATTTTGTACACTAAATAACCGAAAATGGATGACTCAGCCGAAATAGGTACCTGCTAAAGTGCGTACGTTACTTAGTGCCTTGGTAATGGCAAATTCGTAAGGATCTATTGATTGCATTACAAACATTTTCATTTATTTGTTAAACATACAATTACTTCCATTACAACCCGGTCGTCCTATGGATGCTAGAAGCGCGAATTCATATGTATAAGGTGCAGTTACCGGAAAATGAAGATGAAATGAAATTATTGTTTGATTTCTAACCAAACCTATGTATGTAACTCAATCGCCTAATGGTTTGCCGAACCGTAAACATATGTTTACACACAAAATTTCGTGAGTAGGTACCTGGTACTCACACCTTTTTTAAGAAGTTTCACTTCTATCATGTGTACGGTGTTACACACGCTTTTTTTTATAAATTTTCCTCATTCAGAATCAGCGACAAGCAAATTTATACAATTCTAAAATTTTAATTTTTAGAGAAATTGCGCATTCTCTTTTCGAAGTAGGGTTTGTCTTCATAAAGATCATAAATACTATTCAGTCATACCAATCCCCCTTCAGGCTACGCCACTGCGGACGAGTAAAGGAACAGAGAAATGGTACAATACTTACATTCAATGCTCTCTTTCGCACACATATTGACGTTGTTGATACTTTGAGCCCCAATCACTTTATGAACAGCCTCGTACAAATTCCACGACGCCGGTGACCCTCCTGAGGGTGCCATCGCCTCCTTGCATTTTCTGAAGGAAAGATTTTTTTAGTAAATCAAAATTTTAAAAGATATTAACATAGTACCTGTATTTAGCAGTTAGGTTGGCTATCTTGTACTTCACATCTTGGGCAGATAGGAAACACCCTTGCTTTGCTAGCTCGGAGGACATTTCTTGGTAGACGTGCGTATTTTTGCGAGCACCGCGCAACTCATCTACCTTTTCCCCCCACAATTCCACAAAGCAAGCTTCTGCCCTACTATTCCAAAAGCTTCTCTTTCTGCGTTGCTTGACTGGCGTTTCCATTTTTATTGTACCCGCGCACTAGTTTTAAATTTCCATTAAATTGTAAAATTTTAATTGTCAAACTGTGAATTGTCAAAACATTCAACAGTGAGGCAAAATTTTTCAACAGTGAGGCCAAGGTGTATTAAACAAGGTGGTGTTGGGGCGACAGCTGAGTTTTTCGCCGTGGAGGCCATTACGTCAAAATGATGTGTTTGTTGTAACTCATACCAATGACAGTATGGACATCAGCGTATAATTTGTTAGTGTAATTTTTTACTTATATACGGCCAACACCACCTTGTTAAATACGCCTTGAGTGAGGCCAAATTTTTCAACAGTGCAACCAAGATTATTAAAAAAAAAGGGTAGCATGTCCATAAACTCCAAATAAAAGTGGTGCTTAAGGAGAGTTTAACGAAATTTTTTGTATGCTAAGCTCCGAGTTTAAGAGTAGAGTTTAGCGTTAAACTCCAAAACTGGCCCATAAACTCAAGTTAATGGTTCAATGAGAACGTTATATTACCTTAATTAACAAATGCCCTAACCAACAAATAATAAGAATAAAGAATAAAAAGAATATCAAAAACAGGTAAGACTTTTTAAAAAGTGGCATGTATCTCCGATGCTTTTGTTACTAGTGCTTCAAAATGTTTATTGAAGGTGTATTTTAACACATATATCCTACCAAAATCTGCGAAAACCGCACTTTCGAACAAGTAATTTTTAGCAAAAAAAAACGACTTCTATTCTCATATATAAATATATATATATATATCTATATCAATGATCGGATATATACCAGATTAGTATGGGACCACCTCTGAGACACTACCTATCCGATGCAAAGAGAATTATCGAAATCGGTTGACGTGGTCCAAAGTTATGCGGTAACATACATACATAAAAAAAAAAAAATATATTCCGACGAACTGATAACCTCCTCCTTTTTTGGAAGTCGGTTAAAAAAGTGTAGGTTAGGGCCTTCATGAATTAAGGTAACGATATGTATATGCTTTTGATTAAACATGGAATAAAACTCAAAAAGGAACTCACCTGAGTACCACCTTTTGAGGGGCCTTCAGTATAATCGTCTTCCAGATCAGAGTCTTCATAGTTTTTATTATTGTTGCTTTGCTGCAAAATACGAAGATAGCCGGTAATATAAATATACGATGGGGTGATATAAGGCCCATGGCCATAAGGTCAATTGACATTGTGACCACTTAAAGGGACCATAATGGGCAGTATGTCTGTTTGATATGGTCACAATGTCAAATATCAAATTATGTCCATTTCACTTTTATGAAATGGTCATAAAGTCAATCCTTATAGTATTTGTTTAGAATATGCCAAAGATGAAAATTAAATTTATAAGAAAAAGAATATCTATACATATAATAAAATTGTAACAGGTCGATGTCTGTACATTATAGATATTAAAGAAAAATTAATGTGGGGGGTCTTTTTTAAAGCACCAGAAGCCAAATCAACCATTTTTAGAATTTTTGTCTGTCTGTCTGTCTGTCTGTCTGT